CACACACACCAGGAGCTGGGGGATGGTGGAGGGGCTGTGCAGCACCTGGTGTCATAGGGGGCCCGGATCTGGGTCAGTGTCTGCAACAACTAGCACAATGAGGGCGAGATCTCAGTCTCGGGGTTCAGGCAGCAGCCTCACACACACCCCAGCCCCCCATGGATAGGGCCCCCAAATAGACCCAGATTGCGACACAGCTGAGCCAGACCCCTCTCTGGGGGCTGGGCAGGGGGCAGCCGGGCGGGGGGCCAATAACAGCCCAGGCCCTCTCACTCTTCGGGGCTGCCATGGGCAGGGCCTGCCCGGCGGCGGACCTGGCCAGGAGCAGGCGCCGCTAGAGGGGGCTGGCTCCGGAGCGCAGGCTGCGGCGCTCGCTGCCCCACGTCCCGCCCCGCCCAGCGCGCACCGAGCCGGCTGCGCCTGGGGCCCCGCGGGGCGAGCGCCGGGGACGCGGCCCCAGCCCGGGGGCCCCGGTAACTGGGGGAGCTGCGGGGGGCGGCGCCCGGGATCGGGCCGGGCTTCCTGCACTAGGCTGGGGGGCGGCTGCAGCCTCTGCTGGCGATTCTCCCTGCTGGCATAGAGGGGCTGGGGGCTGGGCACTGCCCTCTGTCCCCCCCCCCCAGCAGTGGGGCCTCCCCGGATCCCCGCCCGGGCACAGCCTCCCTGCCCCCCAGGGCCTGGCTCTCCCCAAGGACAGGGATGGTGCCATGGGAGACGCCTGTCTCCTCCCCCCTCCCCCCCCAGCAGGACCCCACCCGCCCAGGCTGCCCTGGCTTCCTGGATGGAAGAGTCCCGGGTCGCAGCCCCACAGGGCTGAGAGGATGGGCAGATGCCTCTGGGTTAACTGGCTCCAGTGTGGTGCCCAAGTGCCATGAGGTTAACCCCCTGAACAGACGGCCAGGGGTAGCGGTGAGCTTGGAGTCTCCAAATGCAGCCTGGCTGCCTTCCTGGAGGCCCCGTTCAGGTGTGTGGGATGTATCCCTCATGCACTGTCCGAGCCGGGTCCGCTTGGTCCCCCCGGCCCCAGTCCAAAAGCTGAAGGGAAAAGTGACATTGTTATGAAATACCCTCAGGTAAAACCAAAGCAACCTCTGGTCAAGCGTGAGGCCGGACGGGGCCATGGGATCAGCTCATCCGGCCTGGCACGTGGAGTGGAAAGTGGGGAGGTTTGGACTGGCCTTAACTCCCTGGGGCTGGGCATTTCCCAGCCTGGGACAGTCCCCGAGGGCTCGGCTGCCAGTGTACCTGCAGCCCTGGATGCTGCTCCCCTGGAGATTCCCCAGGCTCTGACGCTGTTATTTCTCGACAGGCGTCTCCCAGCCTCTGTAGGGTGGCTGCCTTGGTGGCGCATCGGGGAGCAGCTCGGTGAGTCCCTTCTCTTCGTGAATGCGTGGCACTGCTGGCTGGGGAGAGGGGCCCTGTCTCAGGTGGCCAAGGGCGACCCGAGGGGCTCCCTCACTGGGAGGAGCTGGGGGCTGTGGAGCAATACAGTGACAGCCTTTTGCCAGAGATGCAGAATCTAGAACTGTTGTGTCCAGAGAGATCGGGGCTTGGAAATGGGGCCGGAGCCATGAGGATCCAGTTTAGACCCTGACCTCTCCCATCTCCTTCCCCTGTACCAGGCTGCCCTCAACTCCCCGATGGAGCGCGGGGAGGAGCTGCGGGTTCCGGATTCCCAGGGCCGTGAGGAAGGGGAGATGCCACGTGGTGCCAGTCCAGGTGAGGAAGGGGTTAACCCAACTCTGGCACGGAATGGCCCCAAAGCTGCTGCAAAGCTCCCAGCATGACCCATCTGTATTCACCTGGCCTGAGATACAGCCCCACTAGCCCTGGGGGAACCCCCCACCACCCTGTGTTGTCTCTGGGGCTCAGCCAGGATATGGGGCAGAACTGGCCCCTCTGCCCTCCCCTGGGGTGGGTTTGGGGGGGTCAGACCCTGGTTCCCAGCCCTACAAACAGAGGTTTATTAGTGACACGCACCCCCACCCGCAGGGTCCCTTTGCAGGGAGCTACTCACATCTGTGTCTCAGCAGATGATCAGGCGAGCGAGCAGGGGGCTGTCCAGGTGGACGGGGCACCCAAAGGAGCCCAACTGGACATTTGCCGGCGCTCGGAGCGGGTCGGGAGCCTGCGCCGGTCAGGAAGGAGAAGCAGTGCTGGGCAGCAGCCAGAGACCCCCACCAAGCCCGTCCCCCAGCCCCGAGGAGCTCAGCAGCGCTACATGTGTGCCGAATGCGGCCGCGGCTTTGCCGTGAGCGCCCGCCTGGTGAAGCACGAGCGGACCCACACTGGGGAGCGCCCCTTTGCCTGCGCCGAGTGCGGCAAGTGCTTCACCCAGAACGCCAACCTGGTGCAGCACCGCCGTACCCACACCGGGGAGCGCCCCTTCTGCTGCGGCGACTGTGACCGGCGCTTCGGCACCAAAGCCGACCTGGCCCGGCACCGCCAGTCCCACACCGGGGAGCGCCCCTTCCGCTGCGCTGAGTGTGGCCGGGGCTTCAGCCAGAGCTCCAACCTGCTGCGCCACCAGCGCTCCCACACCGGCGAGCGCCCCTTCGCCTGCCAGGACTGTGGGGCTGCCTTCGCCCGCAACGCCCACCTGGCGGCCCACTGCCGCACCCATACTGGCGAGCGCCCCTTCCGCTGCGGGCAGTGCCGGGAGTGCTTCGCCCAGGCCACCGCACTGATCCAGCACCGCCGGCTGCACACAGGCGAGCGCCCCTTCGAGTGCTCCGACTGCGGCAAGGGCTTCACCCGGGCCGCCACCCTGCAGCATCACCAGCGCCTGCACGCCGGCCAGCGCCCCTTCCCCTGCCGGGACTGCGGGGCCACCTTCGCCGCCCACGCCACCCTCCGCCAGCACCGCCGCAGGCACTCCGGGGAGGCGCCCTTCCGCTGCGCTGAGTGTGGGCGCTGCTTCGCCGTCAGCTCCGCGCTGCTCCGGCACCAGCACGTCCACACTGGGGAGCGGCCCTTCACCTGCCACGAGTGCGGCGCCGGCTTCAGCCAGAGCTCGGCGCTCGTCCGCCACCAGAGACTCCATGACTAGTGCCTGGTGCTCCCGGGCCCGGCAGCAGCAAGCCAGCACGTGACCCCTGGCGGGAGGGGGAGACTCCGGGCCCTGGTGGGAGAAGGGTGCCACAGGAGGCCCCATGTGAGTGGGTGAGGGGAAGGTGCTCTGCGGAGGTGGGTTAATTCAGCTGGAATAAATGAGCCCACAGGGTCTGCGGTGTTAACGGGACCCCATCGCTGCCCAGTGCTAAGCAGTTCCACTCGGTTCGGGGTTTCCGTCCAGAGACCCCGGCTTGCTGAGCCCATGGCTGATGTCCCAGCGAACATCTCCTTAGCCTTCGATTAAAGCTACCAAAAAGAGCGCTAACCAGTTGTAGCCTTTGAAACGTAAAGTATTCAGTCTGGCTTTCAGTTCACAGCGGGTGCCCATGGGAATGGGGTGACAGCGGGTGCTCATGAGAATGGGGTGACAGGAGGTGCCCAGGGGAATGGGGTGACAGCGGGTGCCCGAGGGAAGGGGTGACAGCAGGTGCCCAGGGGAATGGGGTGACAGCAGGTGCCCAGGGGAATGGGCTGAGTGAGCCGCTGTTGGGTTGTTGAAGCGCAGCTGAATGATTAAATTTGTCCCAAACCTACCTCGCCCTTGTTAAAGGGATTGGAACCAACAGAAGGCAAAAAGGAATTGAATTGTCATGGAGTCGGGGTCAGGTCCAGGGGGGTCTCTAGGCCCGATGCTATTCAGTATCTTCATCAATACTCAGCTAAGGGGTGCCCCAGGCCCCCCCACAGACTTCGGGGGGGCCTGGGGCACCCCTGTACATGCATGCCCATCGCCCCGCCCCCCATCTGGTCTCTGCCCCAACTTCCTCAATGCTTGGGGAGGTCCCCTCCCTGCCTCCCACAGGGAGCCTCTCCCGCCTACCCCACAGGTGGCATTCGCTCCCCCTCATCCTAACCCTTGGGGCTATTTCCCCATTGGCTCCGTGCTCCCGGCTCCAGGGCCCCCAAAGAGATCCCAGGGAAATGGCCCTTTGCCAGATGGGCCCACCCTGCTGACAGGTTCCAGGCCACCGCTGCTCTGGGTAAGTTTTAACCTGTAACACCCCAGCCACGTCTGCTCTAACAACAGCAGGTGGTGACCGGTGCCAGCTGCTTGGTCAGCACCCCCTAGTCCACGGCCAGAGAGCATTTGGGAATGAGGAATTGTCCCACAGGCAGAGGTGCCGCTACCCAGTGGGGGACTGTGCACAGGGTCCGGGCACACGCCGGGGAGGGAGCCCCCACAGTGAGCGGGCCCAGCGGCCCCAGCAGCCAAGGCCATTATAATGCTGTAGCAGGCACTCTCCAGTGGGCCCCGGAGCCCGGCATGAGCCAGGGCTGGTCTGTGGAGGAGACACGAGTGCTAGAGGGGCTGCCAGGCGCTAGCTCAGCGTATCTGACACCCTCAGCTCCCAAATTCCACCCTACAGCTGCGCAGCCCCAGGACCCCGGCAATCCCAGGCCTCGGGCAGCAGCAGCACCACCGTGCCATTCCTGTGGCTGTGGGGGAACCCAACCCTGGTTCTGACCCCTTGGCCTCCCGCAGGAGCAGAGACACTCACCACTCCACACACTGCCCCTCCCATGTGCTGCCCCAGCCCAGGTGTAGCCCCAAGACCAGAGTGGCAGGGCCTGCTGGAAGCTGGGGCTCCCAAAGGGGGACTAGACCCCATCGCAGTAGGTGCTGGGAGCCTGATGCCCCATGGGTATCCCAGCCCTGGGTGAGCGGCTGCATTCCAGCAGGGGTTACGGGCTGCACTGCGACAGAATTGTTCCCCCTCAGGAACGGCTGCGTGAGCACGCTGGCCTCCCCCCCCCAATGGAGAGGTTCACACGGGACATGCGGGTCAGGCTGTTTTGCTCTCACAGCAGGGCCTCGGCCCTTGCCCTGCCCCCGAACAGCTGCAGAGAGGAGACACTCATTTACAAGGGAGCATTTCCCCCTCTTCGAAACCGTTTATTGACAGAAAACACTACAGAACATGGCACAGAAAGTTCTCCCCTCTGTTCCCACCAGCCACTTCCACAAGACCCCAGCCTCACCCAGCGCTCCCTTTCCCACCGCGTGCCGGAGAGAGGAGCCTGCCAGCTCTGCCGGTAGTGCTCCTGTGCCGTGGGCTCTGCTGGCACGCTCCGTGGGCTGCTTGTACCATGGCTCTGTGGCTACGGGGCGACGTCCCCTTGGCTCCAGTGCTGTGCACAGCCCATGCAGGGCTGTTGTGGCTCCCAGGCCCGGGGACCGGCTCTATCTCGTGTGGATGCGGCGGTGTTTGCAGAGGTAGGACCGAAGGCTGAAGCGCTTGCCGCACAGCGCGCACTCGTGGGGTTTGCCGGCTGCCGCGGCATGGATGCGGCGGTGCTTGCAGAGGTATGAGCGCTGGCTGAAGCACTTGCCACACTGGGGGCACTGGTGGGGCTTCCCCGCCCCGTGGATCCGGCGGTGCTTCACCAGGTACGAGCTGCGGCTGAAGCACTTTTGGCACTCGGGACATTGGAAGGGATTCTCCTGCACCAAGGCCACGGGGGATGGGGGGGTCTCAGCCAGGCCTCCCCCTCGCTCAGCGATGACACATTGAGCCTCTCCGGCCTGGAGACTCTGCAGCGCAGCCAGCGCCAGGCTCTGGGCCATGGGACTCTCTGCTCCGTGGCAGGACTCCCTGTGGACTGTCTGCACTGCACTCAGTGCCGGGCTCTGCTCGGTGCCATGGCAGGGCTCCC